GGGACTATGAGATGCATAAATCTGGAGATAACAACAAGGAAAATCTCGAGGAGGACGGATATGATGATGCATATGATTATTCTTCTCTGTCAAAAGATTGGATAGTACCACCTACAGATGAGCTCAAATTAACAAAGTTCCTTGAAGGAGAAACATCAAACCAGCAAGCAGAATTTCCCGGAAAGGATTTTAAAATTAAGCGCATTGAGGATTGGGTCAATGACCTTCAGCATGTAAACCTGTTTGATGAAGCTGATGAAATAACAGGATATGACGATGAGCTGCCAAGAGAACCCATCGTGTTGAATGAACTAACAACAGCGTCTGCTAAGGTAGATGTCATCAAGTTGACGCCGGGAATGGAATCTGCAAAAAAGTACATATCCTCTTTAAGTGCTTCTGCAACCACAGCCCAGCTGGTTAGTCATGGTCTCGTGGTGATACCATTCCTCAGTGCATTTGTTGGGCTGAAAGTTCTCAATCTCTCAGGAAATGCAATAGGTAGCTACAGTGTCCCTTCTTGCTAAATCTTCTACACACACTGATTGTTTCTGTTTCGTCTATTTTACTGGTCTTAATACGTTTTCCAGTTAGGATAACCGCTGGTGCTCTCCCTCGAGGACTGCATGAATTGAATTTGTCAAAGAACAGTATATCGGTGATCGAGGGCCTACGTGAACTCACTCGGCTTCGAGTATTAGACCTGAGATACAACAAAATACTGAGACTGGGTCATGGTACGGCCTGACCTTACTCATCTACCTTCTTTAGTTATCTGCTTTTATATGGAAACCATGTTTGATCTATTTCCCTTCTTTCTTTTCTTGCTAACTTAGGTTTGGCTTCTTGCTCCTCTCTGAAGGAACTGTACCTAGCTGGTAACAAAATCAGTGAAATCGAGGGTCTTCATCGTCTCTTGAAACTGACGGTCTTGGATCTACGCTTCAATAAGATTTCAACCACCAAAAGTCTCGGCCTGCTAGCTGCAAATTACGGTTCTCTTCAGGCTATAAGCTTGGAAGGTAACCCTGCACAGAAGAATGTTGGTGATGAACAACTGAGAAAGTACCTTATAGGACTCCTGCCTCATTTGGTATACTATAACAGACAAGGCACTAAAGATGCTAGGCTCGGGACTAGCACACACCAATTGGACCGAGGTCTCAGATCAGAGCTCAAAAACAGTAGCCGGAAGAGTAGCCATGGTGCAACCAGTACCCACAAAGCCGGATCATCCGCAGCTCGTAAAGCACCTGGATTGCAGAAAAGGTCTAAGGAGAGAAGTAGCCGTCTTCCACCTGTGGGACACAAAGTATCACCAGCTGCTTATGAGAACTATCACGTTGCTACTGGTGATAGATTGTCTAGTCTGAGAACTGAGCTCTCTATGCGAAGAAGTCGAAGCGAAGGAACTCTTGGACCTATCTGA